AATTTTCACGTCATTTGAGAAGGCGGAAAATTAATAAATATGGGGGTAATTGTGTAGTTCACGTTCGTGCAACAGGTTACAGGATAACTAACGCTTTTTTGTTTTACGAGTAGGCGTACAACAAATTCATTAGGTGGCCGGAAAACCGATGGATTATCAAGGAATCCGGAGATGCAACTAAATTGAACTCACCCGTTTCCAGCGAACCGCACAGTGAGCCGTGTTTATCCAGCGTGCTTTGTCTGAGTAGACACCAGAACCATTTCTATCATTTCTTATTTTATTGAATCGTCTCTTATTACGTTGAGCTGAGTCGTGATATCTCCAGTTTTGGTGCTATAAACTTCCGCTACCCTAGGGGAAGTTAAGCACCCGCAGGGCTTTTTGGGGTATTTAACGCCACACTGTTAATTGCGGAAGTTTTTGGCTGGTGAATTAGGCAACGTCCTCACTCGCTAGTCTCGAAGGCGCATTTTTGCGCTTGTTGGAAGGTCCCAAAATCCACATATGGTCCGCCAGATATCAAAAGATTCCGCCCTTCCAGTGCTCCTCAAATGTAGTAAATGTCGATGTTTCCTGGTTCATAAACCCACGTGATCTTAAACACTTGGAACCTGCACTAAAGTTGCACGTGCTCCCTTCACTAGGCGATGGGCCCACGATGTGTTCAACTGTTCAGAGACCAATCTGCTCCAAGTGGCAAGAAAGGTTATTCATAGACTCATAGAGGAAACAACTCATAAGGTTGTTGATAATTCTTCAACAGGCAACGACCAGTTCGCCCTTCTTTTGGCTTGATGGGTGGATGCAGTGCCCGAATTTCGGTCAACCTTATATTCTATTTGAAACCAAAGTGAACTGATTTCGACAACTGCACTCAGTTGACCATCAGTTTAGCCTTCACAGGATACTCGAGTGAATATCCCGTTTGAAATTTCCTTCAAAACCTAGTACAGGCTAACTGAAGATACATTATGGGTACATAAAACGATGACTCGGAAGTGCTTTTCCAGGTTTCCGCAATCTAAGTAGCAGACGATAAAATCTGTAGCTTAATTACAAGGAAGACGCGCGTACACTTGCATCCACGGGTAAAATGAAGGATATAGCAAGTTGTATCAAACATTATACGATTAGAACAATCTGCAACTTTCGCGACTTAAGCGGCCCACATCTGACCGCAAGTGTAGGTACGCAATTTCGTCACACGGATTTGCATTTCGAGGGAGATTAGTCCAAATAAAAAATTAACCACACTCATGACCTTCTGAAAATACAGTGGACATAAATGTTCATATATATAAAGTATGAACATGGTCGGTTTTTAGAAATCGATTCCAATCTGCGACTACTGACGTGCCAGCCGCTGGCTATTCGCACAATGAGATTGATTTCTCGAAATCTACGGCATTTTCAGACTT